GCCATGACCTAGCCTCACTGCCATGACCTAGCCTCACTGCCATGACCTAGCCTTACTGCCATGACCTAGCCTCACTGCCATGACCTAGCCTCACTGCCATGACCTAGCCTCACTGCCATGACCTAGCCTCACTGTCATCACATTATCCTGCTACCAGCACCTACACCCACTACCATCGCGTCTCTCACCATTACACCTGGTAGAAGATGCGATAAATTTATGATAGGAGATGCTAAATTTATAAGTCAATAATAAATTTAGCAAGCAAATTAAATATGAGCGTTCAGATTACGACGAAAAATTGCGAATTTGTTCATGCCTGACACCACGAACAGTTTCTCCAGTTCGGGAATAATTTTAGGCTCAAAATGAATTATTCTCTATTCAATCTACTGGAAGGAGTATTCTTTTGAAATTAATAGTTGATATCAACACATAAACAAAGATTATTTGTGCATTTGATGCATTCACTGCAAATCGAAAATCAAATAGACAATTATTTATTACAATATAGCTGAATATTTATACAGTTCCTCTAGGCATAATAACAAATGTCTTATTAAATTATTATTTGATTTTTGAAATAATGATAAAGCGTGATAACGGTCGGGAATTGTATAGCTCTGTTTGAATATTAAAGGAACAATAATTACGATTAAAATTTAAATCAATTACTTAATTTAATTCTTAAACATAATTTCCGCCTCAGAAGACATGGCGGACTCAATTTTTTCGCGCCCGGACAAGGAACTTGATTTGCGTGCATGGAGCCAACGGCGGGCGGCGGGACGTGATGTGGCGGGGGCAGCAGGTGCGGTGGCGGCGGCGGGACGTGATGTGGCGGAGGCAGCAGGTGCGGTGGCGGCGGCGGGACGTGATGTGGCGGTCCAGCTGGAGCGGTGGTGGCGGGACGTGATGTGGCGTGGCAGTTGGTACGGTGGCGGCGGCGGGACATGAAGCGGCGGTCCAGCAGGAGCGGTAGCGGCGGGTAGAACAGCGGCGGTGCAGGCCTCAGCTTCCGGCGCAGGCATCGGTCCTCTCGACGGCCGCCGATCGGCGGGCGTTGATTACCGTCTGATTTTCGTCATGTCGCGACACGGAACTCATTTTAATTCATTATTAATGGAACTCATTTTAATTCATTATTAATTTAATGAGTGCACTGCATTTAACCCTCTGCCGCCTGACATGAGTAACCGGAGCAATATTGTCACAAGCCTACTTCCCAAAAAGGATACGTTCTAGTGAGCGCAAAATGACTTGCACTGATGGTTGCCGCCACGTACGACAACATTAAAATATTCTCTGTTGCGTACAAACGTCCTCAGGTTGTTACCTGTCTCTTATACACATCTAAGATGTGTNGACGTATTATCAAACTAATTATTCAGGTTGAATCAGTTAGGCGGTAGTCAAGCGTAAAATGTGACTGCTATGTCCGAAACAATTACCGTGGCTACCAAGGATTGCTAAGGAAGAAAATTTTAACCGCGTTTATCGGAAGGATCTGTGCTCCGAGGACATATTATATAGGCATCCGCAAACATGGTACATCTTTATGACTGAAAAACATGCCCTACTTGTCCATAGACACTATATAAGAATATGACTCTTAGGCAATAATTTTTTCTGATTTTCAAAGTTAATATGTTCCAACTGAAGTAGATTAAGTAGTTCTATAGAATGATTTCGTCTCATGGATAAGGACTGTCTCTTATACACATCTAGATGTGTATAAGAGACAGGAACTAAAGCAATACAAAGAGCATCAACTGCCACCAACAGGATTAGAACTCGTCCTACAGGTTACGTGTGGTAATTAAGGAGCCTGTATCAATATGTGCCATGGCAAGATGTGCAAATATTCTCTGTGTTGACAGCTGTATCTTTCTCTGTGTGATCCACACAATACAGAAGCCTGATTCCAACTCACACAACTCACCAAAAGAGCAGATCGTGCCGGAGCTCCTGAGTAGCACCTGCCTCTGTGTACTTTATGTGTATATGGCCAGTGTACTTTGTGTGTGCACATCAGCGGGCTTTTCTTTCTCTTCTGCAATACCGGCAGGGCTAATAAAAGAGTTTGCCGTATTTTCAATATTTATTCAAATTTATTGCGTTTTTCTGATGTTTTTTCCTTTTTGTATAATAAATTCACGCTTCTCTTTTTTTTTTTGCAATTCGTGCATAATAGCAAATGCTATTTTCTTGCGTTGCATTCATTTAAACTGCAAGAATATTTTTCAAATATAAAAAATTCTAATTGTTTTTATATTAAAATCACTTTTTGACACAAATGGAGTTTATTGAATTTTAATTTGAAATATTTATTATTGAAGTTTAAAGCTGCGCCATGATATCTAATAAAACAGACCCATCCTCTACGTGATTGCTATTATAATAATGGGGGGGGGAGAAGGTGCCACGCTCTGGCAGTCAAGCAGAGCGCCGCGGCCGCACGAGCCACCGCGTCACGCCGCTGCCACCGCTGCTGCCACCGTCGCTGCCATCGCTGACGCCGCCAGCCTGCCACTGCTGCCACTGACACTGAAACTGTTTGCCGCTGCTTGGCGCTGGTGCTGCCACTGACGGTGTTTGTCACTGCCTCCGCAGCCAATAAAAATTTCAGCCATTTTCGCCGTTTGTTTCTGCCACTGCCAGTGCCACTCTTTTTCGATGCCACTCATGGTGTTGGTGGTGGTGGTGGCGGTGGTGATGGTTGTGGTGAACGAAGTTCACCACCTTCACAATGACAAGCAACGGAATTTATTACTCATTTGCAAGAGGATATTTTTTATATAAAAATTAAACCGTAAAATGTAATGTGAAAAATGTAAAAGTAAAATGGATATGAATGTAAGCAATCTGAAGTTGAGTTATTTATGAATGTCTGTAAATGAACAAAAGTTATCTTGAGTCACAGTGATGCTAGGACGTGGGGGGGCTGAGGATATACATCATACATCACCTATGCATCACACATCCCTTCATGCATCATACAAAATACATCATACATCATACATTATGCATAATGTTCCATACATCATACATCATACATAATGCATCGTACATCATACATCATGCATCATACATCATACATCATACACCATACATCATACATAATGCACCATACATCATACATCACACATCATACATCATACATAATGCACCATACATCATACATCACACATCATACACCATACATCATACATAATGCACCATACGTCATACATCATACATCACATATCATACATCAAACATCATACATCATACATCATACATCATACATCATACATCATACATCATACATCATACATTATACATCATACATCATACATCATACATCATACATCATACATCATATATCATACATCATTCATGTCACTGCATTTGCTGACGAACAGACGTATGATTACGTCGGATTTATGATATACGTCCTGAGTAACCGAGACTTGCGCTACCGTTGTACCGTTTCGACATGCGTAGCCTCGGTACTCATCATGATGTGATGAGCGTGTACGTTATCTCCGTGACGGGGAAATTGTAACACAATTGTGCACCTTTCATGTACGATGTTGTGATGACATCATCGGTTGTAATAACTGAATGCTATATTTCGTTTATTCGTACGTTGTCTTGGATTTGATAGCATATTTATATTGGTTTTTCGTCGTTTACTGTCAGTACAAACAGGAGCACAAACAAATACTAATTTAGTATCAGGTGCTTAATGCTATTATGAAGTGACGTATTATCAAACTAATTATTCAGGTTGAATCAGTTAGGCGGTAGTCAAGCGTAAAATGTGACTGCTATGTCCGAAACAATTACCGTGGCTACCAAGGATTGCTAAGGAAGAAAATTTTAACCGCGTTTATCGGAAGGATCTGTGCTCCGAGGACATATTATATAGGCATCCGCAAACATGGTACATCTTTATGACTGAAAAACATGCCCTACTTGTCCATAGACACTATATAAGAATATGACTCTTAGGCAATAATTTTTTCTGATTTTCAAAGTTAATATGTTCCAACTGAAGTAGATTAAGTAGTTCTATAGAATGATTTCGTCTCATGGATAAGGATTCGAAAACATTTCTAACATACGTTTTTATCTAATTATAGATTATCCTCGATTTTTCACGAATTACGTNAGTAATACTAATACAAAATGTTTGGCTTTGAAATTCCAGAATCGCCTGACCAATATCCCGGACTTCTCATTATTTTTATTAAAATCTTGTGAAAACGACGAGCGAATTCTTTTGATGAACATTTCCAGTATGAAAATTATTTTATTTGGTTTCATATTTTCCTTGTGCTTTGTTGGATTTAATTGATCCGTGACTGGTTGAGAATTTCTCATTTGGAATTGTAATCATTTTTTAATATAATTTCTTGTTCCTTGAATAAAGTTGAATTACGCATCCAAATTAGAAAAAAAGCCTTTATATTTTCTCACGTTGCCCTACATCATCCCAACCTCAAGGATTGAGCCTGCAATGAGTAAAGTATCTAAAAAAATAGCACGCCATTTTCCTTCACGAATTTCAAAATGGACTGGACATTATTCGGGCTACTTGCACAAGATAGCTCCTGTCAACCCTGACTGGCAGTGACTTAGACCAAGATTATTGATGCATAAAGAAATATGTCGACGGTATCTAAAGGTGAGTGTGTACGAACGCCAACTGCAAGGCTATATGATCTATATATGTTTCGGCCTTGTTCTATACTACTCGCAGAGACATGATTTATTTGTGGTCTCTCTTAACTCCTGAATCTAAGTTCGCGCTGGACGATCTGAACGTCCGAGCCTAAGTTTGTGCTGGACGATCTGAAGGTCTGAACCTAAGTTCGTGCTGGACGATCTGAACGTCCGAGCCTAAGTTTGTGCTGGACGATCTGAAGGTCTGAACCTAAGTTCGTGCTGGACGATCTGAACTTCCGAGCCTAAGTTTGTGCTGGACGATCTGAAGGTCTGAACCTAAGTTCGTGCTGGACGATCTGAACGTCCGAGCCTAAGTTTGTGCTGGACGATCTGAAGGTCTGAACCTAAGTTCATGCTGGACGATCTGAACGTCCGAGCCTAAGTTCGTGCTGGACGATCTGAACGCCTGAATCTAAGTTTGTGCTGGACGATCTCAACGCCTGAACCTAATAAGTTCGTGCTGGACGATCTGAACGCCTGAACCTAAGTTGCTGCTGGACGATCTCAACGCCTGAACCTAAGTTGCTGCTGGACTATCTGAACGCCTGAACCTAAGTTGCTGCTGGACTATCTGAACGCCTGAACCTAAGTTGCTGCTGGACTATCTGAACGCCTGAACTTAAGTTGGTGCTGGACGATCTGAACGTCCGAACCTAAGTTCGTGTTGGACAATCTGAACGCCTACGCTATCAAATATCATCAAAAATATTATTTGCTAGTCTGCTGCTGTTTCGCTGTTGCCTCGCTGATGGTCTGCTACCGCTGTCTGTGTCATGAACGCTCGACTGCTGTCCTGCAAGGAAGACGTGATCTTCCTTCATACATCGTTAGTTGATACACAATATAGTAATAATATATTAATACATTTATGGACGCTGAATAACCGAATAGCCACAGAATATGTTTATTATAATGTTATTTAGGTTCATGAATAGGGTTTAGGTCAAACCACATGGTTGAACAATACTGAATATATTGTTCAGTTGGTTTCATTTGGTTATGTTGGTTATGTTGGTTGAACAATACTGAATATGTTTCTATAACAGCATTTAGAAATGCTGGCGCTAGTACCTACCTTTGCCTATTCGTGGTGAGTAAATTTTCTCGTCGATTAAAGGAAATGAATTGGTATTTCCATAATTTAGATCGTTATACAAGCTCATTCACAAGCATTTAGGCTCTCGATTTTAGTTAATAAGACATCAGTGATATGATCTGCTTTACAATGCAGTCTGGAAAGCAAGAATTAGCACGGTAAGCAGTAAGGCAAGATTAAAAATGCACACTTTTGTTGGAACATAGAGATAGTTTTTGTGAA